ACGCTCTGAAACGTACCGATTTTCATGATTTAATAAAATGCTCTTAAACATACCGCATTCCTTGTGGTAATGGGACTATCTGCAACGTTTAGCATCAAAATATCATTGAAAAATGTTCACCATCCCAGCAGATAATTTGAGCGTCAGCCGACGCATCGACGACGGTTACTTGGCGCGTCAAAGTACGCGCATCATGCTGACGCCCGTAGTGTAGTATTCGTGGCGCGTCGGGGGTGCGTCAAGTCGACGGGTTTGTGTGACGCATGTGTATTCCTTCGCACAGCTGCATGTGTCTGTAATTTGTCCCACTATATACCAAATGGAATGGTACATGTCAAGCATCAAATAAATCTTGACGTTGCATTTCATGATTTGATGAATCCATTTTATTCCAAAATCGTTTAGTATGTACAGCATACATTTACGTACATACGTAAATACATGTACATACATACATTTAGTAAAATCATTCAGTATACAGAAGAATAGTTTAAAAAAAAGAACAAAAAGATATTTCTTCACATTCCTCCACATCGCACTAATCCACATCTTGTCATATTCCGCAGTTTACTTCTGTACGCAGGTGTTCCAAATTGTGTTCTTAATGTTGTTCTTGCTTGCACCAATCCACAAACTTTGGGTACGTGCTGGGGATTGCCAGTTGGCGTGTTTGAATATTCTTCTGGCTTGTCACTTTGTGAGTCTGGCTGTGTGTATGACACGTTTTCCTCCACATTGTCAGCATGCTGAACAATAGCATGGCGAGCATGTTTATGCGCAGGAACAATTGTGCAAGCTTTATTTGTATGGTACTTTCCCCTCCTGTGCTCATAGCTGAAGAACTTTGTCCACTTGTCGGTGTATGCCACAATATTTTTATGTTCCTAGTGTTCAGAGCTGTTGCTTCCACAAATTTCTTGGCAACACCTGATGTATAAAATAGAAATTTGAGAAATAAGTTATGTACATTTCTTCAATTCTTTTTCTACAGTTATATATATACTCACAGGCCAGTAAATTGTAAACATTCGGTGCTTCAGCCTTAAGGTCATGTTCCTTTGTCAGTCCAATTGCTCTTGACCGATCCTCAAGTCTAAACTCCTGTTGGCACCTTTCAAATGACATAAAATACACTTCTGGTTAGTTATATATTGTTATTATACAACATTAATTTGTTTATAATTGCTCTTGAGTAAATAGGAGATCCGCAACCACAACAACCACATGTTTGTCCCCCATCTTTTGGGAAAAAAGGTCTGTTTGGTACTTTGGAACATGTCCAGTGCTCTTGAATTCCGTTACCCACAGATCTCCACAGTATGTCTTGGCAGTTTGGACATAGTATGACACCTGAATTTAAAATGTAATATAATACATTGCATAGTACTGTATCAGAGGAGAATAAAAAGGTTTAATTAAAATTTATATACATTACCTCAAATGACGCAAAGTACACTGGCTGAATTACTGGTTTCCTGCCCTCTGTGTAATCCATTCCTCTCCAGTTTATGACATTTCTTTTTCCTTGTAAATATGCCACATCCACGTTTTTCTAGAGGTATGAATACCAATTTATTACATTATTGCACAAACTGTATACATTTGACATTCATTACTCACCTCAAAGGATCCAGTCCATTTTGGGTTGAAGTACTTCCGGTATGTTAGGAAGCACTCCAGTTTATTCTCAATGATGACTTTGTCTCCAACACAATAGCCTTCATTGAGTACCCGGTTCATTTCACTGCTGAAGACACTATCTGAGTCTTCATTGCACATGGAACCAGTTTGTCCTTCCTTGTCACAAGACATATTTATCTCGAAATGCAATATATTTAATGTCAACTGTAAATAAGAACGTGGTATAATACACATGGTACGTATGACAATATTTCAACTTAATTACAGTGAGGCCCCCACATGTGGATGCCTTGACCTTCGGACGATTCAACTTAGGGACACTTTACTTCAAATTTGAAATGACCCAACCTGCGGACACTGACTTGACCTGAGGACCCCAGCAATGCTCCAAATTTTATACATGAGTTGAAAAACACTGATTTAATAATTTTTTCATCAGTAGAATTTTTTCCTCAATTTTAAAAAGGAATTTTGATCACTTTTTTTTTGGAAAACACCAATTAAAAATTACATAATGCAAGTCTATGGGAAAACCAGACTCGACTTAGGGACATTTTGACTTATGGACACTCTTGATACACCAATTACGTCTGCATCTCGGGGTCTCACTGCATATCAATGAATGCATAATACACCAGCTAGTACTTGAAGAAATTCATAAATACTGAAGGAATAATAATATATATACACCACAATCTCAACATATATGAGGATTGATGGAGTCAAACTTCCTGCTGCTGTGCTGAAGTTTTCTACACAATGACGACGACAGCTTCATTTACTCTTTCCAGCAGAAAAACATGTCAAAAACACGCAAAGGGTGGTGAAGCAATTTAGGCTTCAAAGCACATGGGGCAGCTGGGGATCATTCCTTTGAAAGGCTGCTGTAAAACACACCCCTCACCCCTGTTTTTGTTAAATAGAAGCAGAATGGGCACCAACACAAGTTAGCACACATTGTGATGAGCACAGGATCATGAGTGATGGCCTAGCAAGCCATCTGAGAAATTCATACAATAGTGGAGAAGAAGGGTGGGTAGGCAGTCAAGCAGCAGTCCATGCACCCATTATTCAAAGGAATTATCCTGATGTACAGCATTAGGAAAGCAATGATGAGGGATTTACCAGAATTCCGCCAGAAAAGTTGAAAGGAATTTTCCTGCCAACGAGGAAAGAACCAAGGGTTGCTGCCCATCCCCCAATGCTAAGCATGCAACATATGTGAATGAATCAACAAATCTGGAAGCATCAGGAGGTGATGGTATGAAGGAAGCACTGCTTCAGAACTTTGAAATTTTCGAAAGAGAAATTAATCCAGGGATTTCAACATTTGACCAAGGTATACATGATTGTTTAACATTGAATTCCAATATGCAGTATTTTTATGACAGGTAAATTTAATTATTTCAGCCATTCACATGCAATACACACAGATGTTGCACACAAATTTGGCATCAGAAGATAAATAATTTGCAAGCTCTTCAATTTATGTTTAAAAACATTTAATATCTTATCTAATACACATCACAGCAAATACAACGTAAAATAACATGGTATACAACACAACACAACACAGACAAGCAAACAGAAACATGTGTACAACATTTACATCAAATAATGGACAATTAATCCCGCCAATAAAAATTATTTTCTGTCAAACTTGTTCCATGCTTCTTGTTGTACTTCTCCAGTGATCCATACTTGTTCAATAAAAAATTCCAAAAGTGCGTGTTTCCTTGTCTCTGAATCTCTGGCCAATTGTTTTCTTCTTGCATGTAATCCATGTGCTGTTGTAACCTTTTTTCAATTGCAGCTTGGTATGTCTTGTAGTTCTCCTCATGGAAGTGCAGCATCATATGATCCTTGCTTCTTTTTTCAAAAACTTCTGGCTTACTCCAAACATTTCTGTGGAATGAGTAAAACTCAATAATTTAAAACATTCAATTTAAATAGGTAATTAGCTGAAGATAGTACAAAATTTTTGTTGTACCTTTAAATTCTTCTTCCAGCTTTGTGTACTGGGCATCATCCAATTTCTTGTAGGGGATGATTGTCACACGATCTTTTCTGTTCTTCTGGTTCCTTTGCTGTTGTATTAAGGCTTGCCACATGATGTACCCTTCCGAAATCTCCGCATCCTCTGGTATTTTTGGTGGTGCCATTTCGGAAAATGTATGGAATGAGGGAATTTATTATAACATGTGCAGGAAATTTTATTAACAATCAATACATATACATTATTATTAGTGAAAGAAGAAATTTATCATAAATATAAAACGTATTACAATTATGATGATATGGTAACAAAATGAAGAATTCATTACCAATGCAATATACATCATATCGGATTCATTTAATTGAAATGATGTACTTTAAACAATAATGCAATGAATCCAAAAAAAGTATAATCAAAACTGTACTTGAATATACATTATAAAATTAAATAATTCATTCAAATAATGTATACAAGTTATTCACATACCTTTCAGCATTTCTACTCTGTCTTCATCCGTGAAAACCCGGAATTTGCACTCCCAGTGGATATAAATGTTCCCAGAAAGACGCAGAAATACCATCTCCGTCTTGAATTTCGCGTCTCCAACAATTTCACTGGCCATTGTACTTCTTTATTATTACGAGTTGTGCTTATTTCCACAATTTCTTCACTTGTGCGGATTTATTGAATACCTGCTGGTGAAGAGGAAGCAATAACATCATATTATGAATAAAATAATTCATTGCACATTAAATATATAAGGTAACTGTTCACAATTCCAAAAGAACACCACACGCCAAAAGATACATGTTAAGTGCTTTGTAACATGCGTATATGGCCTGCTTTTATACTGTTTTTCAGCGCGCAAATTTGCAACACAAATTGTTCAAGCTAATGCCCGCCCCCGCCATACAGGCTTTGGCTTTGATGCCCTCCAACAATGGAAAACAGGAAGATTCAAGAACCCTATAAAATGCACAGGATTTAAATTCTATGGAATTTTACATTGATAACAGGTATATTCTCAAGGTTGGGTAACTTTTCCAGATACAATTCCCATGAATATAATAATACAACTAAAGAAGCCACAAGGATACACACTAATCAACCCACCTCCCCCTGATCCACCGTTACTAATCATACTTAACCATTCTCCACCAAGAACGCAAATCTGTTGACCATCAAACTGCAGAAGAAGGTGTGGAAAAATGCAGCTTTCCCAACATGGTGGATGATGGGCTTGCCTTGTCTTGCTATATCATATCATACTATATATTTCATATTAAGTGTATTGCATGTTATTGAATATTACGGCATATTATCCGCACTTCTCTTATTCATCCCATGTGGTAATGGGATGCTCTTAAACATACCGCCTTCCTTGTGGTAATGGGACTATCTGAAACATTTAGCATCAAAATATCATTGAAAAATGTTCACCATACCCCCTGACGTTCCCTTTGTATATGTTTTGTTTCAAAAGGAACGCCCCGGTAATGGTACGCTCTGAAACGTACCGCATTTCATGTTTTAATGGGACGCTCTTAAGCATACCGCATTCCTTGTGGTAATGGAACTATTTGAAACGTTTAGCATCAAAATATCATTGAAAAATGTTCACTACACCCCTTGACGTTCCCTTTGTATATGTTTTGTTTTGATACAAATGCCCCGGTAATGGTACGCTCTGAAACGTACCGCATTTCATGATTTAATGGGACGCTCTGAAACATAACTCATTCCTTGTGGTAATGGGACTATCTGAAACGTTTAGCATCAAAATATCATTGAAAAATGTTCACCACACCCCCTGACATTCCCTTTGTACTCTATATGTTTTGTTTCGATACGAACGCCCTGGTGATGGTACACTCTGAAACGTACCGCATTTCATTATTTAATGGGACGCTCTTAAACATACCGCATCCCTTGTGGTAATGGGACTATCTGAAACGTTTAGCATCAAAATATCATTGAAAAATGTTCACCACACCCCCTGATGTTCCCTTTGTATATGTTTTGTTTTGATACAAACGCCCCAGTAATGGTACACTCTGAAACATACCTCATTCCTGGTGGTAATGGGACTATCTAAAACATTTAGCATCAAAATATCATTGAAAAATGTTCACTACACCCCTTGATGTTCCCTTTGTATATGTTTTGTTTCGATACAAACGCCCCGGTAATGGTACGCTCTGAAACGTACCGCATTTCATGATTTAATGGGATGCTCTGAAACATACCTCATTCCTTGTGGTAATGGGACTATCTGAAATGTTTAGCATCAAGATATATTTGAAAAATGTTATCAGCGGGCAGGCTCCTTGAAATTGAACTTTTCATGCACACACACACACACAGACAGATGTCAGCATCCAATGTCTATATACTGTATAATACCAAGTACACTCTCCATCCAGGACTTGTTGAGTAGGATTCTGTTGAATAAGCAAAGCATGTGAATTCCACACAATCTTGAACATAACATGTCAATAAGGTTTTAGTGGACCTTCACTAAATTGCAGAGGTTTCAGAATCTCATATAATTTCATGCATTGTGATGCCATGTAATCAACGTACACATGTAAGTTCACATTTTCTAAAAAAATATGTATTTCTTATGTAATCGATATAATACATACGTACATCTAAGTAATACACAGAAAACACACGTATATAGAATAAACATTTCATACACATACACAGCATTCAATGCAAAAACCTTGAATGATGAACATCTCTAATTCATCGTCCAGGGATTAAACTTCAATCATAAGTTACATAAAATTCAGAATACACAAAGTACAGGAATATAGCACATCCTTGTTTCATCATAAATGAATTTCCTGAAAGATCCATTCCTGTTCTTCATTTGATGTATCCATGGATGTCTTATTCTTAACTTGAAGTTTGGTATGGAATGGGAAAACTGTTGAAATTATTTCAGAAAACCTAAAGTGCTTCCGTTTAATAGCGTCATGGCCCCCAATAATGCGGAAATTTCCAATATCTGAAGATGGGTATGGAAACTGAAAAGTCAACATAACTGTCTTGAAAATCCCACACTCAATCATCAATTCCCCAGTCACTTCATTTTGATAAAACTTTTTTATGACTCCAAAGCATGCCTGCTGTGTTTCTGTTGGTTTCTCATCATACATGGGCAAGCGTACAATGTTTTCCAGGTACCTGAAAGAAACACATATTCTTGTATAGTAACATATTTAATTGTATTTTTGTATGATGTAATAACTCACTTTAAGGAGAGTGCAAAAATTTCACACTCCACAACTTGTTTCTTGGAATCATAATGTTTCACAAAGAGTGGAGGTAAGTCTGTTGTTTCCATTTTCGTGTACTCTTCGTAGCTCCACTTGGTAGGAGAGGTTGTCATCATCAAGTTCCCAGCCATTAAGTTGTGTGGGCTGTCTATACATCTTCATTGCCAGTAACCAACGCACTATTTGCTGCCCAACATGCTTGCCACTTCTGGATCCAAACTGCAATATGAACAAGAATGAAGAGTAACATTAATGCATTTGGATAACATTCTTGTTCAAGTATGCATGAAACATCAACCTATGTTAGAAACATAGAAACACTAACCTTTCTAAATAACCGCATCATATTCTCATATGGGTAAGCAGACATGCTGCCTAGGTGACATTGAAACATTTGTGCATCTTGGGCCAAGTGTGACAATGAATAACATTTGTACACACACCAATTCCTTGACCTTTTTTTGCATATTACTCACAAATATTTTTAGTAAATAATCTGCCTCTTTAATTGTATTAGGATTAACAGGCTTATGTGTATTACCTGTGATTAGCAGGCAACCTTTAATGTAGAGAAGTACATCATGAAATCTACTTTTTGTAAAAGAAGGTGATAAGAATATTGAAGGAATGACATAGTAAAAAAAGAATTGTCTTGTCTCAGCCATTTTCCAGAAATGCATAGCAGTGAAGGTTCTGCACTGATGAGAGAAAATCTTGGGAGTGAATATTCTCCATTGGCTAATAAGACTGTTCTACCGTCTCTTATCAATTAAATAAGGATTAGGGTCAGAGGTAACAGTGCTTGCTGTAGAAGTAGTGTTACAGTAATCAGGATCTTGAGCATCATTCATGTTTGCTGAAATGCTGTCATCATCAGAATCTGATGAGTTATTTCTTGTCAACGCGAATAATCTGTCAGGCTTGGGCCTTTTCCTTGCAGTGTGGAAAGATGCAGGTCATTGGAAAGGAAAGGCGCGCTTCTTATTTCCATTCAGGAGTATGGTCTTCTTGTTGACTGCTCTCTTTTTTGAAAATTCTTTCTTTGGCTTAACGTCAAAGAGTAGGCGCAATGTTGTTGGAATGGCTCCACCATCGCACAAATGCATTTCCTCCAGTGGCATGTTAGTGATAGGGCTGAAATCTAGGATGTTGTCCAAGGGAGTTGTGCCTCCTCTATGAAATCGCTTAATTGCTTTTCCTGTCTTCTGATGCCTGTCAACACTGTCAGGTGAAAGGCGGTATTGATGCCATTCATCTGGTCTTCTTTCAGATTCTTTTCCGGGTGAAAGGAATCGGAGAGACCCAGGCACAATTGAATGTTTAGCGTCCAGCTTGTACTTGCCCCTTGAATATCATAAGATGAAAATCAATGTACTTTTATATTGGATATATGCACATCATTTCCTGACTGCCGACTATTATATAAAGGTATGTTCAAACATTACTGCTGCACATTTAAATATATCTACAATATATGGCAAACATTGTGCATACTTACTTCAAAATACACCGTTTGCAGCAGAAGTATCCTGCATTTGATGTTGTTTGTTTGATCCAGAAATGACCAACGGCATCATAGATTAATGCACAAACCACAACAGTCATGACCCTGTCAAGTGCAGGAGCCTTGGGGTGCAGTGAATTTAATTCATTTGTTATAAGTCAAAAAGAAAAGCATCCAAGTTTGGCTTTCCCTCTCCATGGTAAACAGCAATGACAAATGGTTTTGATTTTCTGGATGGAATTAAATGGCCATCCACACAAATTAGGCAACCTAAAATTGGTGTAGCACTAGGAGCACTAGAGTTGTTGAATATCTGGCATGCATCTATGAAGAGGTCAATGACAAATGTTGGACATGAGCCACGTTGAGATGCCTCATTCTTGGCGTCTCCTGTAGAAGAATTTGTGGCAGTAAGCTTCTCCAGTATCTTGTCTGACAAAGCATGAGCATCAATAGCAGCAATCAACCGCAAATTTTGTGCATGCCCTTTGGAATCAATGAGCCCTGCAAGGTATATGAGGAGTGGTTCAAGCAAATGTGAAAAGTGTATATACTTCTGTGGATATAGTTTAATGTAAATTGCAATAACTTACCACAGGATTGTCCCAGGATAGCATTCTGAATTCCAAGGTATGCCATTTTCTGGTTTCTATGGTTCAAAGTTTTGTCGGCATCCTGTGATGCGTCCATCATGAATTTCTTTATTGGAACGTTGTCAGCATCTTCATTGTCATCATTGACTTCAATAATGGTTGTGTATTTGTTTGACGTACAACCATCCCCATTTCTTGACACATGATCATTTTCAATGTATTCTTCAGCATCAGAATCACTATCCTCAACATTGTTACAGCATGCATGACTGAAATGTTCATGTTGGACATTTGAACTGCTGCTGGGTTCTATGAGTTGCTGAGCATTTATTAACTCTGGTTCACCAATGAATGCCTTTTTCTGCAGATCAAAGTCATTAAGATTCCTCATGATGATGTATGACAAGTTGAGCATGACATTGTGATGTTTCAGTAGACAAAGCAAGCCTGTCATTGAAGCCAAAGAAGAAGCATCTGTACATGCCCAATGACGTAGTACTTCAAGGAAGGTCCACTGCTTCCCACTTCCTTGATTTATTTCTTGTTGATTCAAGTGATCATTTGTGGAATTAATTCCTAAATTGAAGCCAAAGAAGGAGCATCTGTACATGCCCAATGACGTAGTGCTTCAAGGAAGGTCCACTGCTTCCCACTTCCTTGATTTATTTCTTGTTGATTCAAGTGATCATTTGTGGAATTAATTCCTATTGAAACAAATTAACCAGAATTATTACGGAAGCTGGATGACATTAGTGTAAATTGTAAATTTACCTGTGAACAAGTGAGATGTTCCCCAATTTTTGTCAAGATATGCTGCTGAAATTTCAAGGCATTCAGTTGGTAGCATCTGAACCTTGTCTCCTTCTTCATGCACAAGAGGAGATTCTTCAGAATCTATATGCCCAGATGACAACTTCATCCTGTCATGAAGTCCAACTTGATTGAAAAAAGCTTTTAAATCCCAAATTCCACTTTGAAGTAGGTTATCTTTAAGTTGACAACACACTGGTAAAGTGAAAGATTCTGGTTCTTTCTTCCATGCCTCCAGTTGAGCCTCTTCCAGTCTTCTCCTTTTTCTTGCATTGCTTCTATCAGTTACTATTAAATGATGCCGCGATGTGATTGTACGCACAATGCCACTCACTTCCCGATCAGTAAGGGTATAATCCCCGTTTTTTTTCATCTGAAGTATGGAAAACAATTGGAATTTTTTTTAATAATAAATAAATAAATAAATACAAGTATTACGCAGCATACATTTGGACAGAAATGTCAACACTGTCGCCATGGGATGCGGTACGTTTCAGAGAGTCCCACTACCACATTTAATGCGGTACATTGCAGAGCGTACCATTTCCACTTGGGATGCGGTGCGTTTCAGAGCGTACCATTACCCATTACTCAAAGGTGAGCCACACATCACCAAGATATGAGGTAGCAATATTAATACTGTATGTGTAAAACACGTAATAGGACTCCATTTAGTTGTACTGAACTTACCTTTCTGAAAACCGTATTAGGTACATCTTGCATTGCTTCTATCAGTTACTATTAAACGATGCTGCGATGTGATTGTACGCACAATGCCACTCACTTCCCGATCAGTAAGGGTATAATCCCCGTTTTTTTTCATCTGAAGTATATAGAAAAATTGAAAACAATTGGAATTTTTTTAAATAATAAATAAATACAAGTATTACACAGCATACATTTGGACAGAAATGTAAACACTGTCGCCATGGGATGCGGTATGTTTCAGAGCGTCCCACTACCACATTTAATGCGGTATGTTGCAGAGCATACCATTACCCATTACTCAAAGGTGAGCCACACATCACTGAGATATGATGTAGCAATATTAATACCGTATGTGTAAAACACATAATAGGACTCCATTTAGTTGTACTGAACTTACCTTTCTGAAAACCGTATTAGGTACGGATATGGATTATATTACATGTATATGGCTACCAGTCCCCCAGCTCATTTGCTGTATTATGGGCATTTCCTATACATTGATAGGGCCCAGGGTATCACTGGTAACCACCCAGTTCTTTGTCGCTGGCTTTTAATTTCATTACTCAAAGGTGAGCCACACATCACCAAGATATGAGGTAGCAATATTAATACCGTATGTGTAAAACACGTAATAGGACTCCATTTAGTTGTACTGAACTTACCTTTCTGAAAACCGTATTAGGTACATATATGGGATATATTACATGTATATGGCTACCAGTCCCCCAGCTCATTTGCTGTATTATGGGCATTTCCTATACATTGATAGGGCCCAGGGTATCACTGGTAACCACCCAGTTCTTTGTCGCTGGCTTTTAATTTCATACTCCTATTAACATCACTTTTCCACACTCAGACGCACAAATGTTTCCTTCTTGGAATATTCACAAACCTGGAACATAAAAGAAGTAAATGTCACTTTAGTTATATACATGTGTACATGATTTGAAACTCATTCAATTTCATGAAATAATTGAATATAATGCAAAATATAATGCAAAGTGGAAATAAGTTTATAAACATAACAAAGTATTATTATATCGACACCTTACTGCATTTGGCCTGCATCAACTTTCAAGGCGATTACGAGTCCACTGAGGAGGAATATTTTTGGACTGAAACCCATGAAATCGGACTTCCATGAAAAACGTACTGAGGCTATGTTTTAACAAAGTTGATGCAGACACCTTACTCGGCATCATTACAAGCAACAACATCATCATCATCATCATCCTCATCATAATCAGCATCATCACTATGATCATCACCGTCATCATCATTATCATTATCATCATCATCATCCGAATCAGGAACATCATCATCATGCTCAGCACAACGTTTCCGCTTCCTTGATGTTTGAAAAGTTTTACCAAAATCCGCCGCTGTAATGCGGGGAAACATTCTGTTCTTGCTCCTGCTATTTGGTGCCCACACACTTCGGAACCATTTCACAGATGCTCCAATTCTTGCCAGTACACTGTTGTTCTCCAGATCCGTGAGGTGCATCATTCGGCGCTTGAAGTGATCCACAATTTTCTTCTTCACGGTTGGAAATGTAGGAATATTCTGTGATGCATCTTCATCCAAAATGCCCCTCCTGGCAAATTCGTACACCGATTCCATGTAATCTGTGTGTATAACAAGAAATTTATTAAAACATGTGAAAGATAATACAAGATAATTCAATGATACTCACTGAACATAGCCTCAGTACGTTTCTCATGGAAGTCCGACTTCAGGGGTTTCAGTCCAAAAAGATTCCTCCTCAGTGGACTCGTAATCGCCTTGAAAGTTGATGCAGGCCAAAACATTCTCCTACAAATGTCATGAAATAAAGCCTTTGCTTCTTTTGAGGCTTTATCTAAATTATCCCATATTCCGGGAGACATTTTCACCATCTTCTTTACATGTTCCACAAACAGATTGTGGTCATCAACACGAACACACAATCCATGGGCAACATATACAACGGGAACTTTCACTCCCCCAAGCGTAGCATTTGTGTGGATCCGAAGCACATTGTCAATTTCCTTCTTCAGATGGAAGATGGACAGAAGGCGTCCACTCTGGAATTCTTCTAATGCTTCCTTGCAAGCACTTGGTGTTACTTTGTGGGGGAGTGGTCCCAATTTCACTTCCTTCATGTCCCAATCGTCTTCCTTGTAGAAAACGTCGGCACCTTCACCTTTGAAGAGCTTGATGTAGAGCTCCATGCTTTGTGCATTGTGGGCCTCGTAGACTTGTCGGTAGATCTTCTTTGCCCTTTGTATCCCTTGCTTCTGCTCTTCTTCCGAAATTCCTTTCATTTTTTTGTTGGGCAGGTACTTGAAAATATTCTCAAAACTGCCACAAGTGTGTCTGTTGATGACAGTTCTCAATTTCTTCATTTGAGCCCGTTGAGGAGGAGGAAGTGCGTCCTTCAATTTCTCCAGTTCGTTGAGGAATGGCACAATCTCTTCAGCGACGAAGTTGTTGCCATCAATCAAGAAGAGACTTTGTGACGGCTTCATTAACTTGTACTTGCTTAGTTGAATCTCTGATGTAGACTCGTAATCTTCATCCGAGCCTGCTTCTGGAAGGAGTTGAAAAGTGAATGCAAGAATGTATAAAACGTAATACATGCGTTTGTCATGAATTATGAAATTAACAATAAAAGTAATAATTCTGTTAGTCAGTCTGGGATCCAAACTAAGTACAAGTATTACACATAAATTTGTACATACATGTAAACACTAGGCAATATGAATGAAAGGCATATAATACTAATCGAGACGTATTGTATTGCTGGAGTAGCGTGAAATGTAGTCATGAGTTATGAGAGAGGTACCTTCTCATCCTTATAAAGTACTTTAAATACATAATGTTACGTTCAGTTTCACGTTATTCACTTCTATAGTAACATGTAAGTATTACTTCATATTGTTGTTAAAATTTTGTACCTGCTGCTTCTTGATTGGAGAGCAGCACTCTTGATGGTGAGTGAATTCCTGTTGATGGTGAGTTCTCAGTTGCTTGCACAAGGGATTCCTGTGGAGCGTTTTGATCGATGTCAGGTCCTTCAGATGTGACATCAGGAGAAGGGCATTCTGTTAAAAAATAAACATTCATTCATCATGAGCATAATTGAAGCCCATCATTGGAAGTATTCCACTGGTTATTCTGCTGGGATACATCCATTTTACTTTTAATACAATATATTAAATTCAATTAGTTCACAGTAAAGTTTCATTATTAGAATGTACAATCATTTGGTTCAAGGAATTAACTCAGTTATTGGAATTGTTACATTACAAATCATGTGGGAAGGTATTAATGATTCATAAACACATTTGAAATCCCATCTCATTATAATTAAGTACTTTAAATACAGAATTAAAACATATGCTTACCTGAAGAAAAGCTCATGTTGGAAACAGAATGCGGTGTTCTTGGGAGGCTGCAACTTGTTGTTGGTGAAGCATTCTCCCCAATTTCCATGTCTTCACTTGTGCTTTCTAATACAACTTGTCCTTCGTTTTTCAAGATGGGTACTTCCATCAGCCGAGTCATGTCTGTGGTACATCAAGTAAGTATAAAATTAATGCGTAAGAAATATAATGTGTTCTTTTCTATCAGTAGTATGAAGAAATTTACTAACTGTAACTTTCCATAACCTGAAGCACAAACGCTTTTAGGTCATGGAATGACGAAGGACCCTCTTCACGTCCAGCAGCCTGATTTGCTTCATTTTCCGAGAAGCACTTTTCAACAATTTTATCCGCAGCTTCCACGATTTCATCAAATTTAGCAATTCTTGTAGGATCCTGTTGTCGAATGCTCATTTCTTTTTCCATAATTGCTGCCCGGAAACACGTGAAGAGGTATTTCGCATTCACAAAGGAGCACTCCATAACTTTGATAGCGCCGATATCATTGTAAACACTTTGTTTGAACTTTCGCGACGACATTATGTATTTCAATGAATACCTGTAATAATAAAAGAAGAACACATTTATATCATTACCAATACACAGTTTCAATGAATGTCTTTCAATAAAATACAGGGTTAAACAGAGTACAGAGTTCAAATGTACAAAACATTGCAATGCAATTCTTGACTAAGCATGTTTTCACACACTGTTAACGCGTCATTGCACGAAAAACGTCACTGTTTCACCATCACTATTAAAAACTTTGCTGTACACTTTTCCTTCTTGTAGTCCTGAAAGATGAAAGAAGAGAATGTGGGTTTAATAACAAATGAATATACAATTCAAACTCTTTGAAGATAATTTGTTAGACATGTTCAAATCTGTTTCAGTAAACCATATGAATTTTTTTTCTTTCTTCAACTCATCATCTACTAGCACTTCTCCTGAAAACATTTTTCACAAAAACCACATCATCCCCGATTGATTCCAGTTTTCTCTTCTCATTCTTCTTGAACTCCTGCTCAATTTCCTTCCGGCGGATGTCATCATCAAAAAGAAGAATGCGACCCACTTGAAGGGTCTTATCTGAAATTTCCATGGAATCCTCCAATTCCTCTTGATTGTCAGATGCCAGCAGGTTTGATACTTCTTCACTTGATGCTTGATTCTTCATCCTTTTGCTGAATTCCTCCTTGACAAGTTCCTTGTACTTGTTGCTAACTGAACATGGAGGGTTCTTCCTGAAATGCACACAACATTGAATGAATGAATATAAATAAATGTAAATCTGTTTAATTTGAAAAGCTAATATCATGCACCACTCACCCAACTCCCAGGAGATCATTAAGTTTGTCTTCCAAGATGTCGATCCGTTTCTTTAGCGTGTTCAGCAGCTTCTTCTGTTCATCATCTCCACCTCTTGTTTCGTAGTATATTTCTTCTTCACTTGTTGGTCTGAAAGTGTAAAAAACGTGAAGAAGAAACTGCTTCAAAATCTATACAGAAGGCATTTAGCAGAACTTACATCTTGCTCAACTTCAACTGAGTTAGCGTTGGAGGTGGGATGCCCTGTTCAACTCGAGTTCCTGACAAATCTGGTCGGTTTGAAGGAAACTTATTCAGGCCTTTGATCAGCCACTCCTTGTACCTTTTAGGGTAGTAGTGCCTCATGAATGGCTCCAACGGGAAACGGACATTGTTCTCCTCAGACCTGCAAAAGAAAAACATGAAAATATTATTTAAGAGATTTTTAAATTTAAATGTGTAATATGTTTGAAAGCATGTACACTCACCCATCACAAGAGCAAAACTTTGCTCGGAGTCCATAGTCAACCCAAAACTTCACAGCATAATTAACTGCAACATTCAGGTTGAGGCCAGTGTAACACTAGGCATGAATGAAAGCCATATAATACTAATCGAGACGTATTGTATTGCTGGTGTAGCGTGAAATGTAGTCATGAGTTATGAGAGAGGGTTTAATGGAATGGTACACATTAGAGAATGATACCTTTTGAAATACCTTCTCATCCTTATAAAGTACTTTAAATACATAATGTTACGTTCAGTTTCACGTTATTCACTTCTATAGTAACATCTAAGTATTACTTCATATTGTTGTTAAAATTTTGTACCTGCTGCTTTTTGATTGGAGAGCAGCACTCTTGCTGGTGAGTTATCAGATGCTTGCACAAGGGATTCCTGTGGAGCGTTTTGATTGATGTCAGGTCCTTCAGATGTCACATCAGAAGAAGGGCATTCTGTCAAAAAATAAACATTCATCATGAGCATAATTGAAGCCCCTCATTGGAAGTATTCCACTAGGTAGTCTGGGATCCATCCATTTTACTTTTAATACAATATATTAAATTCAATAAGTTCACAGTAAAGTTTCATTATTAGAATGTACGATCATTTGGTTTGAGGAATTAACTCAGTTATTGGAATTGTTACATTATTAATCGTGTGGGAAAGGTATTGATGATTCATAAACACATTTGAAATCCCATGTCATTATAATTAAGTACTTTAAATACAGAATTTAAACATATGCTTACCTGAAGAAAGGCTCATGTTGCAATCCGAATGTGGTGTTGTTGGGAGGCTGCAACTTGTTGTTGGTGAAGCATTCTGCCCAATTTCCATGTCTTCACTTCTGGATTGTAATCCTACTTGTCCTTTGTCTTTCAAGATGGGTACTTCCATCAGCCGAGTCATTTCCGTGGTACATCAAGTAATTATATAATTAATGCGTAAGAAATATAATGTGTTCTTTTGTATCAGTATGAAGAAATTTACCAACTGTAACTTTCCATAACCTGAAGCACAAATGCTTTTAGGTCATGGAATGACAAAGGACCCTCTTCACGTCCAGCAGCCTGATTTGCTTCATTTTCAGAGAAGCACTTTTCAACAATTTGATCCGCAGCTTCCACGATTTCATCAAATTTTGCAATTCTTGTAGGATCCTGTAGAATGACAAAGGACCCTCTTCACGTCCAGCAGCCTGATTTGCTTCATTTTCAGAGAAGCACTTTTCAACAATTTGATCCGCAGCTTCCACGATTTCATCAAATTTTGCAATTCTTGTAGGATCCTGTTGTGGAATGCTCATTTCTTCTTCCATAATTGCTGCCCGGAAACACGTGAAGAGATATTTTGCATTCATAAAGGAGCACTCCATAACTTTGATAGCGCCAATATCATTGTAAACATTTTGTTTGAACTTTTGCAACGACATTATGTATTTCAATGAATGCCTGTAATAATAAAAGAAGAACACATTTAAATCATTATCAATACACATTGTGAATCAATGTCTTTCAAGAAAATACACGGTTAAACACAAGTTCAAATGTACAAAACAGTGCAATGCAATTCTTGACTAAGAATGTTCTCACACACTGTTAACGCGTCATTGCACAAAAAACGTCACGGTTTCACCATCACTATTAAACACTTTGCTGTACACTTTTCCTTCTTGTAGTCCTGGAAGATGAAATAAGAGAATGTGGGTCTAATAACAAATGAATATACAATTCAAACTCTTTGAAGATAATTTGTTAGACATGTTCAAAGCTGTTTCAGTAAACCATATGAAATTTTCTTCTTTCTTCAACTCATCATCTACTAGCACTTCTCCTGAAAACATTCTTCACAAAAACCACATCATCCCCAATTGATTCCAGTTTTCTCTTCTCATTCTTCTTGAACTCCTGCTCAACTTCCTTCCGGCAAATGTCATCATCAAAAAGAAGAATGCGACCCACTTGAAGGGTCTTATCAGAAATTTCCATGGAATCCTCCAATTCCTCTTGTTCGTCAGATGCCAGCAGGGTTGATTCTTCTTCACTTGATGCTTGATTCTTCATCCTTTTGCTGTATTCCTCCTTGACAAGTTTCTTGTACTTGTTGCTAACTGAACATGGAGGGTTCTTCCTGAAATGCACACAACATTGAATGAATGAATATAATTAAATGTTACTCTGTTTAATTTGAAAAGCTAATATCCTGCACCACTCACCCAACTCCCAGGAGATAATTAAGTTTGTCTTCCAAGATGTTGATCCGTTTCTTTAGCATGTTCAGCAGCTTCTTCTGTTCATCATCTCCACCTCTTGTTTTGTAGTATATTTCTTCTTCACTTGTTGGTCTGAAAGTGTAAAAAACGTGAATAAGAAACTGCTTCAAAATCTTTACAGAAGGCATTTAGCAGAACTTACATCTTGCTCAACTTCAACTGAGTTAGAGTTGGAGGTGGGATGCCCTGTTCAACTCAAGTTCCTGACAAATCCGGTTGGTTTGAAGGAAACTTATTCAGGCCTTTGATCAGCCACTCCTTGTACTTTTTAGGGTAGTAGTGCCTCATGAACGGCTCCAACGTGAAACGCACATTGTTCTCCTCAGACCTGCAAAAGAAAAACATGAAAATATTATTTAAGAGATTTTTAAATTTAAATGTGTAATATGTTTGAAAGCATGTACACTCACCCATCACAAGAGCAAAACTTTGCTCGGAGTCCATAGTCAACCCAAAACTTCACAGCATAATTAACTGCAACATTCAGGTTGAGGCCAGTGTTGAACCCCCCGTGAGGTCCTTTTGGAGTGGTGATGATGAACTCATATGGATGTTGGATGGCCACACAAGCATTCAGGCAGTAGTGATCCATCCACTTTTCATCATACATGTATATCTTGTGACGTGGGAGGTTCCCGCATTGTGGAAAGTCTTTTCCTACACCAATTTCGACGATCTGTTCATATCGATCCACATTTGTTGCATCCATGCTGTACCTGCATGAAGTACAAGAAAAACATTGGAATGTAACATTTGTAATGATGAAATGAGTATTTATGTTATGATGTACTAACCAAATCTTAGGGTATCCACCCCAATGCAAGTTGATGGATAAGAGATCCATATCCTCGCAATGCATTGAGAATAATGATCCACAAGTCCCAATGAAGAAAAATGGTGAGCACACCCCACCAATTAATTGTGGCGGAAAGAAGCTGGTGTAGAGGATTGGCAGTGCTGATCCAGGTATGTCAGTTAGATCCACCATAAACTTCCCCTGTGAATTGTGAAGCACATCCATATCATAAAATGATGATTGTGCTTTCCACTCATTCAAATACAATTGGAAAATATTATTCAGTCATACTCACATCGCTTGGTCTCTGTTTAAGTTGTATGATCTCATCAAAACGTGCTGGATCAATGTCGTTGACGCTCATTTCTGTAACATACTTCAGCTTTGAAGTACGCTCTCCACAGTTTAAAGCCCGCAACTTCGTCCAGAACAGCTTTCGATCTTCAATTGCTCTGGAATCTCCAGGTGCAACATGATGAGGATCTCCAGTTGGTGGATGTAGAAGGGTGCATTTAGCACCACCAAGTGAAGAAGGATGCATCACTCCTTCTTCTCTGGCCAAGTTGAAGAAGTCCAGTGCTGTTTTCACTTCTGGTATAGAAGCCTCAGTCATGGAAGAGGCATAAATGCCTCGATCATGCACTTTCTCCAACTGCTGCT